AAAGGCAAAGCAGGAGAGGTTGACATGTTTGGTCAACATACAGTACTTGCCATAGGGGTTGGCACTTAAGTACAGTCATATCAAAGTTTCTTAGCATGTGCAAACCTTGGTTTGATCTCTCAAACAAAAAGACATTGGCTGCATTTTATCTTTCATAAATGCATGTACGATGGAACTATTACTAAGTCAAGAAAAGCCATGGGAGGAACAGCATTTAGAAATCTGGAGGTGCATTTTAAATGTACATTTGAAATGTCTACTCAATATCTGGCCAGTGACTGACATCCATCCAGTGCTTAAGAGTGACATCAGGGGTAAGGCATAAATGTGGACGTTGTTAACCTACAGAGAGTATGTGAAGCCACGGGAGTGAACTGAATCACCAGGGAAAGTTACTTATTTGGAGACCTGAAACCTGAGTCTCAACAGTTAGGGGTTGACAATGGAGGAGAAATCAGAAGGGTTGAGAAGGAAGCAGCTCAGGACGCTGGAGAGAAGAACACGATGTTGGTGGCTTGGAAGTCAGTAGACCATGTGACGAGCCTACGCTGCTGAAATGGTCAGAAGATTGGGAATACAGGAGTGTATTCATTTTATCTGATGTATGTTTTCCTGGAACGGCTCCTATGATGTTTTAGACCCCCATGTATGTGAACTACGGTCTCATTTACCCCACTTTATGGTAACTATTTAATCACCTGTTGTTCTTTTTCTTTATTACTGTGGCTGCCTTTTAAGCCATGGCTGTCCTAATCAGCAACTGCAACTCTTCTACCAGCCGTGGTTTGGCCGCAAGGGCAGCAGCCTGAGGGAATTCTGCTTCCATGGGCACCGACTTTTTCAAAGCTACTAAGGGAACTTATCTACATCTCTATCCCTCTAAAGAACTCAAGATTCAAAGGTTGAAGCTGAATTCTTCTTGCTCAGAGAGGCTGAATAGAAAGTAGCTGACTTTCTCCCTTTGCTGGCGTCTTCCAAAGAACCCTGCATCCTTCTCTCAGTCCCCACTTAAAAGCCCTTGCCCCACCTGGTTCCTCCCCACCACTTCAGGTCAGCTGGTTGCTGACTCAGCCTCCTGACTGCAGGTTAATTTTATTTAATCAAACAAATGTAACACACCTTTGCATCATTAAACAAAGGTTAATGGTGTAAAGACATCATTTATGAAAACAAACGCAACACATCTCAAAATAATATTCTACAACAATCTGTAGTTACCATTTATTGAGCTCCATGATGACAGAGACCGTATCTACTTGAGTCCCATTCATAGTACCGTCATTGGCAGACAGTAACATCCAGATAAATATTTTTGAAATGCTGAATGAATGAGTCAAAGATGTACAAAAGCCATTGACAACCTTCCTGCCCCAAAGAAGAAACAGTAGATATCTGACTCCTCAGCTCTAGCATTTCATCAAATTTCAAATATTGGACAGTCATGACAGAGACAAGTTTGGTCTTAATACATGAGAATAATGTATGCACAAGGAAAAAAATAAGATAATTTAAAAAGCAGGGCTGGCTGGGCAGTGGTGGCACATGCCTTTAATCCCAGAATTCAGGAGGCAGAGCCAGGTGGATCTCTGTGAGTTCAAGGCCAGACTGGTCTACAGAGCGAGATCCAGGACAGGCTGTCTCATAAAACCAAAAAAAAGTGGTCCATAAACTCAACCTTATTATCAATCAGTTCTTCCCATGACAGAAACTATTGGAGCTGTATATAATCCATCTGTGGCAATTTTCTCCATTTGATATATTATGCTTGCCTAAACTTCTCTCTTCTTCCCCCCCATCCCTTTCCTTCCCTCCCTCTCCTTATTTCTGTGTGTGGGAAGAGCATCATTTGGTACAGAAGAGCTGCATGCATTTGTGCACTATGATGCCACAACCCTCTCTAGTCAGGAATCCATTCCTAGTTATTATGGAGGAGCACACACAGTTTTGCAGCTCTTCTTATTTAGGGGAGAGCTGGACTTTCAATTCTTTATGGCATTCCTTACCAAGTTTATGCAGATCAATCATAGCTGACACCAAGGATGACTTAAATTCTTTACAGCACCCTGTTACAGATTTGTCTTGAATTTCTCTCATTGCTTGGACTAATGGAGGTTACTGATTTTCTCCAGTATTCTTTTTTTTTTTGGTTTTTTCAGAGACAGGGTTTCTCTGTATAGCTTTGCGCCTTTCCTGGAACTCACTTAGTAGCCCAGGCTGGCCTCGAACTCACAGAGATCCGCCTGGCTCTGCCTCCCGAGTGCTGGGATTAAAGGCGTGCGCCACCACTGCCCGGCTTCTCCAGTATTCTTATGTATCAGTGTGACAGCTCTGTAATGAATTATAAACACGGTAGCTTGAAGCAACATACATTAATTCTCTCCCAATTCTAAAAATCAGGAGTCCAAAATCAGTTTGTTGGCAGGGCTGCACTCGCAGGATCTAGGGTTAGACATGTCTTTTCCGGCTCTTGGTGGCTGTCAGCATTTTTTAGTTTGCGGTGCTATTACTCCAATCTCTGTCTCTGGGGTCACATTGCCTTTCCTTCTGGGTGTGTAGAATCTGCCTCTCTTATATTCCTGATTGTGTGTAGGCCCACTGCAAATACCAGGCAACCTCCCCACGTCAATGTCTTTAATTAAATCTAAAGAGGCTCTCACAGGCCCTAGGAACTAGGGTCTAATATCTTTGAGGTCAGTACCAAACAACAGCAGTTCACATCTATATTTGCCAGTGTGAATTCAAAAGTATGACAACCTACTTATTGAAGTCCATGAAAATTTATACGCACTCCTTAAGTCACACTGAAGCTAAATCAGAATGATTATCTTGACATTAAATTTTACTTTACAGTAGTGTTTAAATAATTTTGATTTGTTGGCAAATGCAAAGCACTACATATGAAGTTTTAAGAAGTCCACACTGTTAAACCATCTGGGATACCTGACATTTGAATGGCTGTCCAAAGGAAGAGAGAAAAGAATGATTCAAGAAAGATCATGTAGCTGGGCACTTGGGAGGCAGAGGCAGGCATATCTCTGTGGGTTAGAGGCCAGCCTGGTCTAGAGAGTGAGTTCCAGGAAAGCCAGGGCTACACAGAGAAACCCTGTCTGAAAAAAAAAAAAAAGGAAAGAAAGTTCATGTAGCTTTCCTCATATGTATAAAGATGTGTCACGGAGAGTAGGGATTAACTTGACTCAAGAACAACAAATTGTAGGCTGAGAAATACAAATTTCAACACATGAGGAATAATTCAGAATGGATGGCAGAAGGGTCTCTTCCCAAAGAAAGGTTTTTTTTTTCTCTCCTAATTCTGGAAATGACTGTGGAAAGACCTAGTGGGAGGTAAGTAAAGGAGTGTCCTAGTCAGGATTTCAGTTGCTGTGACGAAACACTATGACCACAAAGTAAGTTGGAGAGGAAAGGGTTTGACTCATACTTCCATATTGCTGTTCATCATCAAAGGAAGTCAGGACAGGAACTCAAACAGGGCAGGAAACTGGAGGCAGGAGCTGATGCAGAGGTCACGGAGGAGTGCTCCTTACTGGCTTGTTTGACATGGTTTGTTTATCCTGCTTTCTTATAGCACCCAGGACCACCAGCCCAGGGATGGCAGCATCCACAATGAGCTGGTCCCTCCCTCATCAATCACTAATAAAGAAAATGCTGTACAGCCCGGTCTTACCAAGGCCTTTTCTCAATTAAGGTTCCCCCCTTTCAGATAACTCTAGTGTGTGTGTCTGGTTGACATAGCCAGCACAAGAAGTAAGGTAGATAATATAATCTCAGATACAGCTATGAAAATAATTTACAAGACAATCTTGTAAATGGTTGGCTCTAGATAAATAATAAGTAATAATAAGTAATCCACTTTCCTAATGATAGCCAGAGTAATTTTGTAAAAAGAAAGACCTGGTAACATTTTGCACCCGATGAAAGGCTGTTTTTGAATTGTCCCCTCAATTCCTTGGGTGTTTCATCATAAGTTCTTTTCCTGATTATTATCATCATCATTATTGGAACGGGATCTAGCTATGTAGCTCCAACTAGCTTGGAACTCACAATGCAAAACAGGCTGGCCTTGAACTTAAGGTGATGTTCCTGACTGTGGTTTCTTGTCTGATTTCTGGCTCAACGTTAGATGCTTCTTCCTTCTTCCTGCCTCTCTTTTTTGCCTAAGATATTCCTAACAAAAGGCAACTTTCTCCAGGAAGCTTTTCTAGTATGTTAACTCAGCTAGCTTCCCATGGATGCTTGCAAAATATTCTGAACTGCTTCAAGTTAGAAGTATTCACTGTATAATTAATTGTCTTATTTCCTTGGGTAAAAAGCTGAAGACGGAAGCCGGGCGGTGGTGGCGCACGCCTTTAATCCTAGCACTCGGGAGGCAGAGCCAGGCGGATCTCTGTGAGTTCGAGGCCAGCCTGGTCTCCAAAGCGAGTTCCAGGAAAGGCGCAAAGCTACACAGAGAAACCCTGTCTCGAGAAAAAAAAAAAAAAAAAAAAAAAAGCTGAAGACGGAAACATTGTATCTCATGCAACACAGAATGGCAAGTAGTAGCTGTATTCACATACTCCTTCAATGAATGAATAAAAACGCTAATCTGCCTTTTATTATTATTTTTTTTTTCGAGACAGGATTTCACTGTGTAACAGCCTCGGCTGTCCTAGAACTAGCTCTGTAGACCAGGCTGGCCTCGAACTCACAACGATCCTCCTGCCTCTGCCTTCCGAGTGTTGAGATTAAAGGCTTGCGCCACCACCTCCTGGCCTGCCTTTTATTTTTTTTAAGTTGAAGTGTAAAATAAGTCTGATGAAATAAAACAAATTTCTCTTCAATGACACCAAATTACAAAACTTCAGAAATACCAGGTTGCTTTCTGGGGAAAGTGTATTTCATGTAATAAAGTGGAGGCACATGAAATAAAATAAGCAATCGTCAAATAAACCAGACCCATCAAAGTGGACTCAGCATAGAAGACAGAAATACTGGGGAGGCAGGGCTTAATCACTTAGGAAACATCATTTATTCTTAGCCTGGCGTTTACAGCTGGGAATAGAGGGAGGTTAAGTCTTCCGCAATCCTTGCCCTTAAACCTCCAGCCTAATCGGAATTCCACCGAGTGTGTGGTAAGCGCCGATAAAGACGGCACACCATTGTTAGGAAATATCTTAGTGGCGAAGTTAAGTAGGAGGGATGGAAGGATGTGGGAAGGTCTGGGTGGTCAGGGAAGCCTTTCCGGTTTAAGCCGAGACCTGCAAGATGAGCAGAAGAAGCCTGGCCGTGTGGACAACTGAAACAAACGTGCAATAGCCCGGATCTGAGATCCCGGAGGAAAAAAAAAAAAAAAAAGAGAGACTCAAGGGCACCTTGGCTGGACGTGGCTCGGGATGACCCCTGCTGGGAAGGAGGACCCCTGCTTGGTGAACCTTCCTCGGGTCAAGGCGCCCACGTCCTCCTCCCGCCTTCCATCCCACCGGAGTCGGGTCGGCTTCCAAAGATCAGCTCCTCCCCGCCACCGCCGCCGCCGCCGGCTTCCCCGGAGGAGCCCCGAACCCGCCTCGGTGGTGGCGGACACCGGAACAAGGCCCCAAGACTGGGCCCGCCGCCGCCGCCGCCGCCGCCGCCGCCGCCGCCGCCGCCCGGCCCCGCCCCTCCGCGGTCACGTGACGCAGGGCGTGACGTAGGAGGAAGGAGACGCCATTAGAGGGAGGCGAGGGCTCGCTCCCTTAGCCTCGGGTGCCTGACGTGGTCGCCGGGGCCCATCCTCGCTGGGACTTCTCTCCTCTCGGGCCTCTGAGGTCTCGGCCGCGGGGGACGCGGCGGGTCCCGGGCTCGGCGAGGGGGCGTGCAGAGCCGGGCTCTCCCCCCCCCCCCCCGGGCGGAGCGGGCGCCGCGGCGGCCGGCGGCGGTGCGGGGCTCGGCGGGGCAGCGGCGGGATGGCTGCGGCCGGCGGCGGCGGTGGCGGCGGTGGCGGCGGCGGCGGCGGCGGGGCGGCGGCGGGGCGAGCCTACTCCTTCAAGGTGGTGCTGCTCGGGGAAGGCTGCGTGGGGAAGACGTCGCTGGTGCTGCGCTACTGCGAGAACAAGTTCAACGACAAGCACATCACCACCCTGCAGGTGCCGACCCCGGGGGATGCCCGGCTTGGGGACCTGCGCCCGCTCCTCTGCCTTCTGGCCTGTCACCCCCCCCCCCCCCGCCATAGCCTTTCCCCCTTCCCCACCCCCACCCCCGATTGCCTTGGGGAGGAGGCGGACAACGCGGGGTCCGGGCCGCCTGTAGATGTCAAGACCGACAGTGGGAAGGAGAAGGGAGGGGAAGGACCCGGAAAAGTCCCCCCAGTTCCCGGTGGAGGCTGTGCAGGTCGGGGAGTTCCCGTCTGTGGGCTCGTTTTTCCCCTTCGAGAGTCGCTTCCGCTGGGGTACCAGGTGTTTTCACTCTCTGGTCTTGAGTGTCAGCTCCTTTTTTTTTTTCTTTTTCTTTTTCTTTTCTTTTCCTTGAGAAGTAGGAACTTCGCTGCGGATTGGAATTTGCGAACGAGGTGGTTTGTAACTTCAGAGCGTCCTGATGACTAAGTGTTTATGCAAGTTCCATTTTGTCCTGTTTTCAAGTAAATGGAGTGGTTTAAAAAAAACAAAACACTGGTCTCTGGAAAGGGTTTTTGGAACGACCGCTTGCTGGTGCCGGTTAGGCAGTTTCATGGCAGCCTTCTTGAGTCTGACCTGTGGGTCGCTTATTCTGTGAGGTTCATCTACCCAGGTTGAAACATCATGTTGTATATTGGCCAGCGATTGGTCTTCAAACTAAAACCTGAAGGACTGCGGCTACACATTTTCTTTACGGTCATAAAAGGCTGGAAGAGTGTTACAATGTAATTCAGAGTGAAACCAGGCGGTAGAAAGAGCTGCGGTCTCCCTGTTTTCTTAAAAAAAAAAAAAATCATCAGTTTGCACGTGTGAGAGGAAATTGATCTATCAATCTGGTTTGATCAGATTGTCCAGAGGCTGAAAAGGCTAGTGGACTTGAGTTTGGTCATCTGGATTCACATCCTCCCTCCATTTATTTCTATAACCAGACTGTGATCTTGGGTAAATTGCTTCACCTGTGTATCCCTAGGTTTCTCCTGCTACAGTAGCCATACTGATTATATCTAGCACACAGGGTTGTCAAGGTAGATACGGAGCAGCACTTAGGACCTGAAATGGGGTAAACACTCTTATTACTGCTCCAGCGTGTACAATAGATCTTAATTAGTAATTGTGAAGAACACGGATGCTACTGGAATGCATAATCTAATGGGTGTGACATTTGATGTTGGGTGCTATTATTAAACTACTGAGTGTAGAGTTCACAAAGATGCCCTGGTTCTGATCCATGTCTTATTTTTACTCCTCTGTTTTCAAGTCTATATAAAGCAAAACATCTGAAGAAGGGAATGTCAGGTGATAATGCCCAAGCTAGTGATTCAGTGGAGCCCATGCGCAGGCCTGACTTTAGATTTTGAGCAGTTGTGCACTGCCTCTGGAGATCCATAAACATTTTATTCTACACTTTCCTTTTTTCTCAATGTAAGAGAAAATGATCACAGTTGAAATCTTAAATGAAAAATTAATTTAGCTCTTCAACCTAAAAGTTGCACTTTGGAGTCCAGTGTTGTGACACACTTCTTTAATCCCAGCACTCAGGAAGCAGAGCAAGCAAGTCTCTGCGAGTTTCAGGCCCGTTAGAGCTACCCAGTGAGACCTTGTCTCAAACGGATAAACAAGAAGTTGCACTTAGATTATATATTTCTAAGATAGCCTCAGAACTAGCAGTGATGAAAGATTTCTACATTGTGAAAGAAGCCACTGAACTACACAGGAAAGAAAGGTGAAGCTGTGGTGGACCTCAGTACCAATAGCATCCCAGCTTAGATTTTTATGTAACTCATTGGAAACCGCGTCTGGATTTCATTACAGAATTGAAGGGCTTGTTGTGTGTATTAATGCAAGGAAACATCACTCTCATCCCTTCCTCCTGGATAGCAATTCAACTCATCTTTCTCAACACTCTGTCCCAGAGAAGTTTGCTTTGTATCATCTGTAAAACACAACCTTGTGTTGTTTTAATTTCCAAAGGGAGGAGATTATGCATCAGAAGGTAGGAGAGGAGTAACGTCACAAACTACTTACCCTCTTAAAGTACTTTGTGTTTAAAGTACAGTGTTTAAAGTATCCTTCAAAGTACTTCGTTTTCAAAACACTTTATAGTGTTTTGAAACGTGTACAAGAAACATTAAAAAAAAATTGCACGACTGACAGGAATCATAGATAGTTGGTGGTTCACTGTTCAGTCATTTGTTGATCTGCACCCCCATCCCCGTTACAGACATCTTGGAGGTCACAGGCTGGGCAAACAACTGAGTGGTGGAGTGTTTGCTTAACACGCCCAAGGCCCTGGGTTCACTTGGAGGTAAAATGAACTGATACCATTGAAAACAGCAAGCTTACTATGCTTGGAGGTGTTCCATGCCCTTTTATGTCTCATGTCAAACAAGTTTTTCTCTCTGGAGAGCCAGAATCTGTTTTGGTCTCAGTCCTGCCCCCTGAATCTTGGTCTCATATGACGTTCCTTGAGTTAGTTAGAGATGGATATCATGACCTCTTGCGTCTTGTCTAGTAAACAGCTCTAGTCCTTTAATTGGATCTCGAGTGACATTTAAAATCCACCCTCGGCCGGGCGGTGGTGGCGCACGCCTTTAATCCCAGCACTTGGGAGGCAGAGCCAGGCGGATCTCTGTGAGTTCGAGGCCAGCCTGGGCTACCAGGTGAGTTCCAGGAAAAGGCGCAAAGCTACACAGAGAAACCCTGTCTCGAAAAACCAAAAAAAAAAAAAACCCACCCTCTTCCCTATTGTGGCATCAATGCACCCTTCTCTTCTTTTCTTTCCTTCCCACACCTCTTCCATTGTTGCTTAAGCTGACCTGAAACTCGTGATCCTCCTGCCTCAGTCTCCAGAGTAGCTGGGAGTTCAGATGTCCGCCCTGGTGCCCGGTGATGTCCTCCTCTCCTTTGAGATGATTTGAGCTGTAGAAACGGTTGTGCTTCCAGGCTGGCTTGGACTGAACAGAGAGGTAGGGACAGCTTGTCACTTCCCCTTCTCTTTCTAACACCAGAGTTCACAGATTCTGTGAGTGAGTGAGTGGGGTAGTTCTGACATTGATAACACTGTGTTTGCTGTCAGCTAAGTATCTATCTTACGTCTCAAGAAAAGTGTATGTCCTTCAGATTCTCTATTTGTTGACTTTATAATAAAGCTCCCCCCCCCCCCAATGTGCTTGGCCTGTTAAAAGTTGGCTTGGATTTGCACCAGTCCTTAAAGCTTGTCAGTTTTCATTTTATTTCACTGTTTTTTTTTTTTTTTTTTTTTTTTTTGGTTTTTCGAGACAGGGTTTCTCTGTGTAGCTTTGCGCCTTTCCTGGATCTCGAGCTGTAGACCAGGCTGGCCTCGAACTTACACAGATCCGCCTGCCTCTGCCTCCCGAGTGCTGGGATTAAAGGCGTGCGCCACCACCGCCCGGCTTTATTTCACTGTTTTTTAAGGATGGAAAAGTTTCAGTTCATAGTTTGGTGGTACAGTTATGGCAGGGAGAATGGTGACGGGAACGTGCAGAAGCAGCTGCTCACATTGCACGTACGGTCAGGAAACAGACAGACACGTTGTTAATGTATATCTGGACTGGGTTCTGCAAAGAAGAATAGAATGTGGACCCTACTGTCTAGATTAGCTGCTTTTTAAATTTTCTAACCTGGGGATTTGGTAAGATTACCTTCAATGAGCCGGGCAGTGGTGGCGCATGCCTTTAATCCCAGCGTTTGGGAGGCAGAGGCAGGTGGATCTCTGTGAGTTCGAGGCCAACCTGGTCTACAGAGTGAGTTCCAGGACAGCCAGGACTGTATAGAAAAAGCCTGTCTCAAAACAAACAAACAAGCAAACAAACAAAAAATCCGTTCAATGTTCTCTTCAGTTCATAGAGTGAGGGGCACATGCAAAGCTTGGTAGCTCGCTCCAGTACACTCTGGTGATGCATGGCCAGAGAGGGGTTTTTCTTTAGCCATGCAGTGTCTTAGGATTGGATTTTTTTCCCCCCAGAACATCCATGATCTCCCCTCCTCTTTTCCTTGAGTGGGAATGAGTTGGTAATGGAGTTTTCCTTTATGGGCTACCACATACAGTAGACACACGTCCTTTAGTGAAGTTTCAACAGTTACTTCAGCACTGATGCTCTAACTTTTCGCCCTCCCTATGTTAGCCTTGCCACAAGGCTTGTCACGGGATCTTTGTCAGATGTAGATAACAAAATACAGTGTTTGAGCAGCACCCAGTTCTATCAGGGAGTCGTGTGATAAAATGGAAAGAAATAATAGGACTTTGAAGTTAGACTGAATTATAGAATGGTTGTGGCAATAAACTGTCCCACCTATAGAATGGGGATGCTTCCTTCATAGGTCCTTTAACATGGATTACATGGCACACAGCCATCTCATATGGAGCTCCTAACACAGTGTCTTAAACACTGTTTGTTTGGTTCTGGGCTCAGACCAGGGCTGTACTAGGCAGTTACTGAGTTACAGCCCCATCCCTGGTGCATGTTTGTTTAATAAATGTTGAATGTTACGTGCTATTGAATACCACAGTATTCATTCAGAATACCATTTAATCTCTGTTGCTTTAATGATAGTCAGAAAAGGTAATGGGAATCATTGGACTTGGATTATGTTGAGAACCCATATTGTCTTTGAGCAGTCACTACATTTATAGGGACTGGGAAGGGGGTATTAGTCAGGCATGAGTTCCTGAGTTTGGATCCTAACACCCTCCTGGAGCATGCCTATAATCCCAGTGCTGGGGAGTCAGACACAGGGGGGTCTCTGGGGCT